TGGTGTGCCGTGGAGTTGCTTCCAACTCACAGCAGCCCTGTGTAGGTTTCCAAGGCTGTAAATTTTTATGAGAGCAGAAAGCCTCATCTTTCTCCTGCGGAACAGCTGGTAGTTTTGAACTGCTGACCTAAAGCTTAGCATCCCGACTCGTAACCACTTTGTTACCAGAACTCCTTGCTCATGCATATGAGACAATCTGAAAATACTATGACTTAGGTTAGGTGTATCTTTGTCCCCAAAGTTACATCTTTCCTTTTGAACATTTTGAGGAGGTCTTTGTAGCAGATTTGCCCAGTCCTATTTGTCATTTGATTTCTTGGATTTTTATTGTTTTAGCGTCATTGAGTATGGATCCAAATAAAATGAAATTATTGACAACTTTCATAGTTTCTCCCTTTGTCATGATATTGTTGTTGTTAGGGGCCATCACGTGGTTTCTGATTCATAAAGACTCAGTGTGCTGCCGAAGGAAACACTGCCCAGTCTGCACAGTTACTGCATTATAGTGTTGTTTATCCTTATGTTGAGATTTTTTTCTTGTTTTTATGTTGAACTATAATCTATACTTAAGGTTGTTGTCTTTGATCTTCATTAGTAAGCTCTTCAGGTCTTTATTTTTGGCAGAGTTATCGTTGTTGTAAAGTGCTGTTGAGTCGATTCTGACCCATGGCGACCCAGTATAGGGTTTCCAAGGAGCCATTGGTGAGCTTGAACCAGCGACTTTGTAATTCAAATGACTTTGCAGTCTGATGCATTAGCCCACAGCACCACACCAGGACTCAGCAACGTTGGCCATCTGTGTTTACAGGTTGTTAATGATTTTTTCTCCAATCTTGATGCCATGATCTTGTTCATATAGTCCACCTTTTTGGATTATTTTCTCAACGTACAAATTGAGTAACTATAATGAAAGTCTATAACTCTGGTGCATAGTTACTATATTGTGGTTGCTTGCATGTTGCTGTGAGGCTGAAAGCGATGTAACCAGTATTTCAAACACCCATGGTGGGCAGGGTTCAGTAGAACTTCTAGACTAAGAAAGAGTAGAAAGAAGAACCTGGCAGGCTGCTTTTGAAAAAATTTGCCAGTGAAAACCTTATGAACAGCACTATATGAAATAATAAGGAGCTCTGGTATAGCATAGTGGTTACGAATCAGGCTGCGAACCTCAGGGTCAGCAGTTTGAAACTACCAGCTTTTCCGTGGGAGAAAGATGAGGCTTTCTGCTCCTGTAAAGATTTACAGCCTCGGAAACCCTGTACCAGGGTCGCTGTGAGTCAGAACCGAATCCATGGCACACAACAACATATGGAAAAATGCTGGAAGATGAGCTCCTCAGTTTGGAACACACCAGAAGTACAATTGGGGAAGAACTTTTTCCTTGGGGTGGTTGTTGTTGTTGTTGTTAGGTGCCATTGAGTCAGTTCCAACCCACAGCGACCCTGGATAGGGTTTCTGAGGAGCAGCTGGTGAGCTTGAACTCCCAATGTTGCAGTTCAAACAGCTTTGCAGTCTGGTGCATTAACTCACAGCGACACACCAGGACTCCTGGAGGTAGAGCTGACCTTAATGCCATGCAGGGAGTAAAGCTTTCAGGATCTTCATTTGCTGATGTGGTATGACTCAAAATGAGAACAATCAGCTGTAAGCATTCATTTGTAATCAGAATATAAAATATAGGAAGTATGACTCTAGGAAAAAACACTATAGGCCTTGCAAAATAGGCCATGTATTTTAAATTCTCTCATTAGAATTTAGGAGCAGATATCACTATTTTGTTGTTGTTGGTTTTGTATTCCATAATAAGTAACACTGACTCCTAGTTGCTATTGTTGTTACTGTGGCATTGCTTCTGATTCATAGTGACCCTACCCACAACAGAATGAAACAGTGTCTGGTCCTGTAGCATCATCACAGTTGTTGGTATGCTTGACCCCATTACTACTGCCATGGTGTCAGTCCATCTTGTTGGGGGGTTTCTTCTATTTTGATGACCCTCCACTATACCAAACCTGATGTCCTTCTCCAAGGACTGGGCCCTCCTGATAACATGTCCAAAGTATGAGAAACAAATCTTACCATCCTGGCTTCTAAACAGTTTTCTGACTGTACTTCTTCCAACACATATTTGTTTGTTCTTTTAGCAGTCTAGGATACCTAAAATATTGTCCCATAATGCAAATTCATCAAATTTTCTACAGTCTTCCTTATTCGTTGTCCAACTTTCACATGCCTTTGAGGCTATTGAAAATCATGGCTTAAATCAGGTACACCTAAATCCTCAAACAAATATCTTGGCTCTTGAACATGTTAAAGAGGTCTTTTGCAGTAGATTTGCTAATGCAGTGTTCTTTGATTTTATGGCTGCTGCTTGCATGAGTGTTGATTGTGGCTCCAAGCATAATGATATGTTTGACAATTTCAGTCTCTTCTCCATTTATCATAATATCATTTACTGGTCCAGTTATTAGGACTTTTATTTTCTATGCATTGAGATGGAATCCATACCGAAAGGTGTGGTCTTTGATCTTCATCAGTAAGTATTTTAAGTACTCTTCCCTTTCAGCAAGCAAAGTTATATCATCTGCATATTGCAGATTGTGAATGAGTCTTCCTCCAATACTGATACCACATTCTTCATCTAATCCAGCTTCCCAAATTATTTGCTCATCATACAGATAAAAGGATACAACCCTGGTATACCCTTTGCCTGAGTTTCATCTTCTTTTGATATTTTCTGCATCACTCAGTATTTCGCCCATAGAATCCTTTAATATTACAAGTTTTGAGGCTTAAATTTGTCTTCAGTACTTTCAGCTTGGAAAACTCTGAATGTATTTTGCCCTTTTGGCTTTCTAACTCCTGGTTTTTGCACAATTTACTGTAATACTTGACTTTGACTTTTCAGGCTGTCCTTTGAAATGTTCTGTTCAGTTCTTTGACTTCCTTGTTTCTTCTGTATGCTTTAGCATGTTTGTGCTGTAGAGCAAATTTCAGAGTGTCTTCTGACATCCATTTTGATTTTAACTTCAGGTCCTGTCTTTTTAATGACCTTTTGTTTTCTTCCTGTATGATGTTCCTGATGGCATCCTACCAGTCCTCTGGTCTTTGGTCTTTAGTGTCTAGCGCACCAAATCTGTTCTTGACATGATCTTGGAATTCAGGTGGGATATGTTCAAAGTCATTTGTTGGCTCTGGTGGACTTGTTTGAATGTTCTTTAGCTTCATTCTCAACTTGCTTATGGTCATTTGATTGTCAGTTCCATAGTGGGCCTCTGGCCTTGTTTTAGCTGATGCCTTTTCCACCCTCTCTTCTAACAAATATAGTCAGTTTGTTTCCTGTGTATCCCTTCTGATGAGGTCTATGTGTGTCATCTCCTTTTATGTCTAAAAAAGGTATTTACAAAGAATAAGATGTTGCAACATTATGCAAATTGATCTTGCATATTTCTATTATTTGATTTCCAGCATTGTTTTTATTACCAAGTTCCCATTTTCCAACTACTGATTCTTCTCTGTTTCTAGCCTTCACATTCCAATCACCAGTAATTATCAATACATGTTGATTAATTTCAGACTGCAGAAATTGATAGAATTCTTCAGATTCTTCATCACTGGCTTTAGTGGTAGGTGCATGAATTTGAATAATAGTGGTATTAAATGGGCTTCCTTGTAGGCATATTGATATCATCCAATGACAGAGAGCATTTGCATTTCAAGATAGATCTTGAAATGACCTTTTTTGATGATGAATATAACGCTAGTCTTCTTCAATTTGTTATTTCTGGCATAGTAAATCGTATGCTTATCTGATTCAAAGTGGCCAAGATTAGTCCATTTCAGCTCAGTAATGCCTAGAATAGCGATTTTTATGTGTTCCGTTTCATTTTTGCCATTTTCCAATTTTCTTAGATTCATACTTCATACTTTCCATGTTCCGTTTACTAATGGGTGGATTTATAAGGTTTTCAGAAGCTAAACGTTTGGAAATAATTCCACGTCTCCTGCTTCTGAGTCTGTTTTGGTTTGGGAATTCCTCTGAAACCTGTCCACCAAGGGTGATTCTGCTGATATTTAGAATACCAGTATCTTAGCTTTCTGCATCACAACAATATGCAGCCTACAACAATAGAACAAACTGACAGACAGGTGGTGGAAGTGCTCCTATTACATACTGCATAGTTGTTTCTTGGTTCATTTTCTTTGCTTGATACATATGTAAACCACATTGTTTATTCTATCTACACTTTTGGTGGAATTTAGATACAATGTTAAGTCCACAGCCCAGCATCACCTGAGTTTTTGGTGACTTAAAAACTCCAGAGGCTGAAGGAACTGAGAACTGAAAAGATTAATTCACAGAAGGAATTTTCTAACAAATACAGTACTTTTTCTAGCTTGTCAGAACTTAGGGGTGGCCTCTTTTTACCAAACATATTAATTACATGAAGAGCAGCAGCATTTTAAATCCTGGGAGATGTCCAACCACAGATCTTGGGCAATCACATTTCTGTAGTGATGTGTTTACACAGTGTGTGTCATTTTCTTCAAAGGGCTTATTACATTGGAACTTACCGGATGTATTGGTAAGAAAAATTTCAAGGCCTGTGATAAAATTATAAACCCTTTAGGCTCTGAGCTTAAGGTAGATTATAGTGTAGTATTTATTGGAGTTCTAAAAGCTGCTGGTTGTGACTGTTTTCTGTATAAAATTCAGTGCAGTTTTTCATTTTATGCCTTTTAGAGGAAAGTTCGGGAAAAAAAAAGTTTTGTTTTTTAAAAAAATGTTCCCTGAATACTAGCTGTGCATGATTTTCTCTTTCTCCTAATATGCTATTAGAGAGAAGTTGCCTTTACCAGGTCCCTGTCTGAACATAGGAGTCGTCAGAGTCTTGGGTATTCCAGCTTACTGAACAGGTTATTTTAATTACATTTGCATGTGGACCTTCCTTTTTTCAGTTGACTGATGGGATTTCGTGCCTTTGTCTTTTCTGCTGCAGGCACAACCCGATCTCCAAGAGAGGGAGAGGTGTCTGGCGTGGACTATAACTTTCTGACTGTGAAGGAGTTCTTGGACCTGGAACAGAGTGGGACTCTTCTGGAAGTTGGCACCTATGAAGGTGAGCTGTTTTCTCAGCAGTCATGATGTCTCTTCCCTGAGGATCCCGAGTCACCTAGGAAAAATGTTTATGAACTAGGGAGGACTAAGCAAATACAGAAGGCTTCAGAGCTCAGTAATAAGATTAATGATCATAAAAAAAATTTGGAATAAGGTCTTTAAATATACATATATATTTTATAGGTGTTTTCTCATTTAACTTTCTGATTTAAATGCTAATGCTGTTAAACAGGGTATGTATGGTATTTAGAAAGCAGAGGAGAAAAAATAAGGGTTCTTCACAAAGTTATAAACTTTATAGTGTTCTACTCTTTAATGAATAGTGTTATTATTTGTTTGTTTTGCCAGTTATAGGGCTTTTAATAGACCTTTTTCTAATTATGAGCAGGTCACATAATTAAGTTATCTGTATCCGTTTTGTGGAAAGATTTTTTGGCAAATTGTTTAAGCTCTAACCTGCTAACCATAAGGTTTACAATTCATACCCATCCAGGGGCTCCATGCAAGAAAGAACTTAGAATCTTTTACCGGAATGGTGTCAGCCTAAGAAATCCTATGGGGTAGCCCTGTTCTGTCACATTGGGTCGTTACGAGTTAAACTTGAACTTAGAAACTCCTAGTAACAACAACATCTTTTTTATAGACTCAAAAAATTTGGACTCATTGGACCATCACAATGGCATTTTATAGATTAAACTTGAAAATAAGGAGCGAGTACAAAGTAGACATAGTTCTGATGTGATAATAGAGCTTGTTACAGGCTGTGGCCAGATGTCAAGTAATGATCATGAATTTAACGTATGCTGTATCTGGTTTTGATATTCCAGGGAAGGGGAAAAAAGGAGTAGTGTTTGCTTTTTGCATATATTTTTAAACTAATATTGTACTGTGTTTTCAGTCAAAGTTTACGTTCTCACTCAACAATTGGTATACAAATTGTTTGTTGACAATGGTTACATTTTTTATAATGTATGAACATTCTCATTACTTCCACTCTGGTTGCTCCATTTCCATTAATCTAGTTTCCCTTGCCCCTTTACATTCTAATCTTTATTTTAGAGTTGAGCATTTGGTTTTGCATAGATAATTTTTTAAAGGAGAATTAATTAATACTCATGAATGATCATCTTCAAGTAGTGTTCTCTTGTACCTATTGGTGGTTATGTGCCCTGGAGTTGTTTCCAACTCGCAGCGACCCTGTGCAGGGTTTCCGAGGCTGTAAATCTTTACGGGAGCAGAAAGCCTCATCTTTCTCCTGCGGAACAGCTGATAGTTTCGAATTGCTGATCTTGCGGTTCGCAGCCTGATTCGTAACCACTACACTACCAGAGCTCCTTACTCATTTACAAATTATGAATATACATTGAAGTATGATTTAGATATTCACATCCCTGATTGTGAACTTGTGGATATTTCATTTGTGTATTGTTAACAATTGGCTTAGTTCCTTGGAATTTCGGGTTGTCAGTGGATGGTTGTGGACTGGGAAGAGAATCGAGAATGCGTTGAACAAAAATGATCTATTGAGGTCTAGAAGTGAGGGGATGGAAGGGAGAAGACTGAATGGATATTCCCAGAGCTTCTTTAACATGTTATTGTGTAGATGTGAATTCTATTGAAAATTCAAATGGCAGATAATGGAGCAAGTAAGAATAATCTGAGAAAGTGAAATAACAGAAAGTAACTTGTCTTTATCAGAATTCAGTCATTATGCTCCCCCCCCCCCCCCCCGCCTCTCTAAGTTGAGTCCACAGTCCCCTAATAGACTCACCCCCACCATTTGCATTTTTGGAGGAATTAGGTGTGGAAATGGTTGTTACAAGCAAAAAATACTAGCTAGAAAATGAAAATGATGTGATTTCGACTGTGGTTTGGGAAAGTAGGAAAATAAACTTTTAATTGAAATGTTTATGTGACAAGGAGTTCTAGTGTGGTGCTCTGGGTTAATGCACAAGACTGCATAGTCAGCTTGAACTGCAACATTGGTGATTCAAGCTCATCAGCCACTCTTCAGAAACCCTATACAGGGTCACTATAGGTTGGAACTGATTAACGGCACTTAACATCCATATGATAAACAGTCTGTTTTGTTATTTAGTTTCATTATTGCAGAAGAGGTAGTTATTATCACAGTTTTTTAAGTGGGGATGCTGAGGCTTTGTGGCAATAGAGAAACATTTTCAGAAAATATGTCATTTTCTTATGTAAAAACCTATTTATGTGAATGTTGCTTAGTTAATATGGACTTGAAATTTTTGTTTGCTCAGGATTCTAATTTTTACCCATTTGACTATAAAACGTTCTTCAGCCTTTCAATGATACCATTTCCTTACTATCTGAGACTGCTTATAATGTTTTTTGGAACTGACTAAAATGTATATTCTGATGACTCTAATAAGCTGAAGGCAAAATGGAATTTTTATTAAATGTCAGGTGCTGTCCTGGGGATCAAGCTGGTTACCTCTTTCGAGAACTTTCTCTTTGTTGTTATTATTATTATTATTATTTTTAAATAATCACCATATGGTCCATTTTTCACTCATAGTGACCCTACTGGACAGTTAGAACCACTCCCTAGGGGTTCCTGTCCTAAGCTGAAATCATTATGCAAGTAAATTGTTATATCTTTTTTCCTCAGAGCTACTCGTCAGTTTGAACCCTCAACCTTTTGGTTAGCAGCTGAGCACTTAACCTCTGTGCCACCTGGATTCTTTCCTCTGTTGTTACGTTTCCTGAATCAGCTCTGTCATGGTGGGTGGTATTTGTGGGGCTCTCACAAGTGAGCAGGGTCTCCAGTAACCTGCTGGAGCTGTAATGTCTCCCAGACCACTTTCTGAGCTGTGTGCCCTCGGGCAAGTTACTTAATGCTCCAAGTCTCCATTTTCCCTTTGGTAAGAATGAGGATAATAATAGTGCCTTCCTCACAGATAGGATTAAATGAGACAGTAATTGGAAAAGGGCTTAGCAGACTGTCTGACACATGTAAGCTCTCTGTCAGCATTGTTGTTGTTGTTTTGTGCCGTGGAGTCAGTTCCAACTCATAGCTATCCTGCATAGGGTTTCCGAGGCTGTAAATCTTTATGGGAGCAGAAAGCCTCATCTTTCTCCTACAGAACAGTTGGTAGTTTCGAGCTGCTGATCGTGAGATTAGCAGCCCAAATCTTAACCACTGTGCTACCAGAGCTCCGTCAGCATTAGTTTTTGTGTTTATACACATGACTGCTCTGCAAATTCCATCCAAGTGGATTCCTTCTCCATTCCATAGCTGGCAAACCAGCAGATTGCCAGTAAAATACCTTTCTTAACTTCCCAGATCCCAGTTACTCCCCGACAGGAAAAAGTCTGCCACAACAGCATAAAACATTCTTTAAAGCAAGATGGTTATCAAACAGTTAGATAAAAATAATAATTGTTTATGATGGAATGGTTCTTATAATAAAGAACTAAAAATTATTTTAGGGTGAGTAATAGCAGTTGCTTGCCCTTCTCCCCACAGATAATCATTGTTGTAAGTTCTAGTACATGTTTTCATTTAACTTCTTTGTAAATGGTGCATATTCCTGTATTGTTATTTATTTTACTCTACTCTTGCTCTACTTACTAAGCCCTGTAGAAATCTTCTCTACATTGCCCCTTATGGTTCTATTTCATTTTCATTTATTTTATTTTATTTTATTTTACAAATGCTGCCAAGTATTCTGGTGTATGGGTTATACATACAGCATACTGTGTATTGCTTGGCTATATTGTGAGTTTGATTTTAGACTACCCCAATAAAATGAATATGGCAATAAAGCGAGTCATATGATGTACCATAAAATCATGTTTACATTATACTGTAGTATATGAAGTGTACAGTAGCAGAATGAAAAGTTTGAAATAGTGTGAGAATTCCTGAACTATGATGCAGAGATCTGAAGTGAGCATGCTGTTAGAAAAATGGCCCTGGAAGACTTGTCACAGGGATTTGCAAACCTTCGATTTGCAAAAATATCTATCAGTGCCATTTTTCTAATAGCTTGTGCTCACCTCATATCTCTGTATCATAGTTTGGGAATTCTCATAATGTTTCAAACTTCTCATGCTCCTATTGCATCTGTAACTATATGTTTATACTGTATTGTACAGAAGCTCTGGGTGGGGTCTCTTTGTGTTGGAGCTAACTTGACATCACTTAACAACAACAACAGCAAAAGTGTGGCACTGTAAGGTAAGTGCTGGACCACAAGGTCAATTTGAACTGCAAGGTGTGGGCAGTTCAAACTCACCACCCACTCCTGGGAAATACTTTAGAAATACTATACAGAGTCACTGTGAGTCAGAACTAACTTGATGGCACTTAACAACAACGTGTGTGTGTGTGTG